GTGGATTAGTTTCAACTTGTTTTATCTTGTATTTTTTCATTAAATCTAATATAAGCCATAAATTTTTATGTAATTTTAATCCGATTACTATTTTCACTAAGCTTTTTGAGGATCAGTGTAACTTTGATGGAAGAACTTTGGGAGAGGCACCCCCCATACCCACCCCCACCCCACCATTTCAAAGACTCCTATTAGCTTTAGTCAACTCAAAGGGTGACAGTTTCTGTGTAAATAAACTGGTAGTTTTTAAGTCCCAGCCTCATGGTTGTTATATTAGCATTAACAAAGGGGAAGAAAGTATCCCAGTTCCTTAACAGAGGAAAGCAGGTTGGTCATACAGAGAACAAACACTCAAGAAAAATGTTGTTGTTGTTCTTAGGTACCATCCAGTTGGTTCCGACTCATAGTGACCCTATATACAATGGAACGAAACACTGCCTGGACCTGCACCATCCTCCCAATTGTTGCTATGTTTGAGCACATTGTTGCAGCCACTATGTCAGTCTATCTCATTGAGGGTCTTCCTCTCTTTTGCTGACCCTCTGCTTTACCAAGCATGATGTCCTTTTTCAGGGACTGGTCCCTCCTGATAACATGCTCAAAGTGCATGAGATGAAGTCTCTCCATCCTCCCTTCTAAGGAGCATTCTGTCTGTACTTCCAGGACAGATTTGTTTGTTCTTCTGGCAGTCCCTGGTATACTCAATATTCTTCGCCAACACTATAATTCAAGGGTATCAGTGCTTCTTTGGTCTTCCTTATTCATTGTCCAGCTTTCACATGCGTATGAGGCAATTGAAAATACCATAGCTTGGGTCAGGCACACTTTAGTCCTCAAAGTGACATCTTCGCTTTTTAACACTTTAAAAAGGTCTTTTGCAGAAGCTTTTCCCAATGCAGTATGTCATTTGATTTCTTAACTGCTGCTTCCATGGGTGCTAATGGTGGATCCAAGTAAAATGAAATTCTTGACAACTTCAGTCTTTTCTCCATTTATCATGATGTTATTTATTGGTCCAGTTGTGAGGATTTTCATTTTCTTTAAGTTGAGGTGTAATCCATACTGAAGGCTGTAGTCTTTGATCTTCATCAGTAAGAGCTTCAAGTCCTCTTCACTTTCAGCAAGCATATCATCTGTATATTGCAGGTTGTTAACGAGTCTTTCTCCAATCTGATGCCGCGATCTTCATATAGCCCAGCTTTTCAGATTATTTTTTCAGCATACAGACTGAATAAGTACGGTGAAAGGATACAACCCTGACACACACGTTTCCTGATTTTAAACAATCAGTATCCTCTTGTTCTGTTCAAACAACCGCCTCTTGGTCTATATACAGGTTTTGCATGAGCACGATTAAGTGTTCTGGAATTGCCATTCTTTGTAATGTTATCCATAATTTGTTATGATCCACAGTCTGATGTGTTTGCATAGTCAATAAAATACAGATAAACATCTTTCTGGTATTACCTGCTTTCAACCAAGATCCATCTGACATCAGCAATGATACCGCTCCTTTCATGTCCTCTTCTGAATCTGGCTTGAATTTCTGGCAGTTCCCTGTCAGCGTACTGTTGTAACCATTTTTGAATACTCTGCAGCAAAATTTTACTTCTGTGTGATATTAATGATACTGTTTGATAATTTCCACATTCTGTTGGATTACCTTTCTTTGAAATGGGCCCAAATATGGACCTATTCAGTTGACTGGTCAGGTAGCTGTCTTCCAAATTTCTTGGCATAGACGAGGGAGCACCTCCAGCACTACATCCGTTTATTGAAACATCTCAGTTGGTATTCCATCCATTCCTGGAGCCTTATTTTTCACCAATGCCTTCCTTGCAGTTTGGACTTCTTCCTTTAGTACCATTCGTTCTTGATCATATACTACCCCCTGAAATGGTTGAACATCGACCAATTCTTTTTGGTACAGTGACTCCCTGTATTTCTTCCATCTTCTTTCGATGCTTCTTGTGGTGTTTAATATTTTGCCCATAGAATCCTTCGGTATTGCGACTCAAGGCTTGAATTTTTGCTTCAGTTCTTTTCAGCCTGAGAGATGCGAAGCATGTTCTTCCCTTTTGGTGTTCTATCTCCAAGTCTTTGCACATTTCATTGTAATACTTTACTTTGTCTTGTCAAGCTGTCCTTTGAAATCTTCATTTCAGCTCTTTTACTTCGTCATTTCTTCCATTTGCTTTAGCTGCTCTACATTCAAGAGCAAGTTTCAGAGTCTCTTCTGACATTCATTTTGGGTTTTTTTTTTCTTTCCTGTCTTTTTAATGGAAACCCTGGTGGCATAGTGGTTAAGAGATATGGCTGCTAACCAAAACGTTGACAGTTCAAATCCACCAGGCACTCCTTGGAAACTCGATGGGGCAGTTCTACTCTGCCCTGTAGGGTCGCTATGAGTTGGAATCGACTCCATGGCAATGGGTTTGGTTTTGGCTTTTTTGTCTTTTTAATGATCTCTTGTCTTTGATGTCATCCCACAACTTGCCTGGTCTTCTGTCATTAGTGTTTAATGCATCAAATCTTTTCTTGAGACGGTCTCTAAATTCAGGTGTGATGTACTCAAGGTTGTACTTTAACTCTCATGGACTTGTTTTAGTTTTCTTCATCTTCAACTTGATCTTACATATGAGCAATTGATGGTCTGTTCCAGTCGGCCCCTGGCTTTGTTCTGACTGATGATATTGAGTTTCTTCATCGTCTCTTTCCACAGATGTAGTCAGTTTTCCTGTGTATTCAATCCTGCGTGTATAGTTGCCACTTTCGTTGATGAAAAAAGGTATTTGCAATGGAGAAGTCATTGGTCTTGCAAAATTCTGTCATGTGATCTCCAGCGTCATTTCTGTCTCCAAGGCCATGTTTTCCATGTACCAGTCCTTCTTGTTTCCAGCTTTCACATTCCATTCACCAGTAATTATCAGTGCATCTTGATTGCATGTTTGATCAATTTCAGACTGCAGAAGCTGGTAAAATCTTCAGTTTCTTCATCTTTGGCTTTAGTGGTTGGTGCATAAATTTAATAATAATCATATTAACTGGTCTTCCTTGTAGGTGAATGGATATTATCCTGTCACTGACAGAGTTGCACTTCAGAATAGATCTTGAAGTTTTTTTTTGTTTGTTTTTGTTCTTGTTTTTTGACAATGAATGTGATACCATTCCTCTTCAATTTGCCATTCCTGGCACAGTAGACCATATGATTATCGGATTCAAAATGGCCAATACCAGCCCATTTAAGCTCTCTAATGCCTAGGATATCAATCTTCAAGCACTCCATGTCATTTTTGACGACTTCCAATTTTCATAGATTCATACTTCATACATTCCACATTCCGATTGTTAATAGATTTTTGCAGCTGTTTCTTCTCAGTTTGAGTTGTGCCACATCAGCAAATGAAGGTCCCAAAAACCTGACTCCATCCATCTTGTTAAGGTCAACTCTCCTTTCAGGAGGCAGCTCTTACCCAGTTGTATTTTGAGTGCCTTCCAACCTGAGGGGCTCGTTTTCCACCACTGTATCAAACAGTGTTCCGCTACTATTCATAAGGTTTTCATTAGCCAGTTTTTTAAGATGTAGATCACCAGGTCCTTCTTTCTAATCTTTCTTGGTCTAGAAGCTCCACTGAAACCTGTTCACCATGGATGAACCTACTGGTATTTGAAATACCGGTGGCATACCTTCCAGCATCACAGCAATGCACAAGCCACCACAGTACGACAAAGTGGCAGACAAGTGGTGGAAAGCCAAATAGACCACTGAATTATTTCAGTGTTGTTTTGTAATAAATTGGACTGCATCAACAAATTTATGCTCAAGAAAATGATTAGGCAAGGTATAAAACTGGTAGAAAATATTTACAGCACATATGTCTGGCAAAGGACTTACGTCCAAATTATATAAAGATCCCCTCTAAATTATTGATAAAAAGTCAAAATAAAAAAGCCTTGAACAGGCTCTTTACAAAAGAAGGTATATTAATCACCAGTAAGCACATGAAATGGTTCTCAGCATCACTAGGTATCAGGGAAGTGCAAATAAGATACCATTCATACTCACTAGAATAGCTAAAATATAAAAGACTGACAATAACAAATGTTGGTGAGGATGTGGAGCAACTGCAACTCTCACACTTCACTGATGGGAATGCAAAATGATACAATCACTTGGGAAAACTAGTTCTTACGAAGTTGAATGTAGACCTACCTTCTGATCCTATGGCCTACCTACTTCTAAGTATTTATCCAAGAAAAATAAAAACTTAGGTCCTCAATTTGTGCAAGAATATTCATAGCAGTCTTATCATTGTATAAAAACTCTAAACTGGAAACAACCAAAATGTTCATCAAAAAGAAAATGGATAAACTGAGGTATAGTCATGTAATGGAACACTACTCAGCAATAAAAGGAACAGACTACTGAATCAGTCAGCAACATGGATAAATTTCATCAGCACAAAATAATGCATACTGTGTGACTCCATTTATCTGAAATTTTAGAATAGGCAAAACTAATTATAGAATTAGAAGTCAGAATAGTGTTTACCTCTTGGGGATGGAGGTGGGGTATCTTGATGGGATAGTATTACATGGTATATTCAATTGTCAAAAATCATCATCCAGCTAGAAACTTTGCATGTTATTGTATGTTCATTATACTTTAATTCTTTGAAATGTTAATTTGTTCTGGGGACCAAAAACAGAGTCCTTTGCAGGTATTAAATCATCTTCTGATTTAGTAACCTTAATTATTATTAAAATTAAGTTAGATTTGTCTTATTACTTAAAATGCCAGCTGCATTTCTAGCCTGTGCCTTCTGTCCTCTGTCAGAGTTAGAGTCACTGACTTTTATATCATGTATTATTCAAAGTAGGTTGGAATACCTTTTTAAACCAAGCCACCGTCCACAAGGCCCCAGTGTCATATGCTTATTACTTAAGAGACTACAGTCTTGTTATAAATTAATTGACCAGGACTTTTCCTTTTCCTGAAGGTATACAAGGGAGAAGAAGCCACATTCCAAATCTCAGGCCTCCAGACCAACACGGACTACAGGTTTCGTGTGTGTGCGTGTCGTCGCTGTTTAGACACCTCTCAGGAGCTAAGCGGAGCTTTCAGCCCCTCTGCAGCTTTTGTACTGCAACGAAGTGAGGTCATGCTTACAGGGGACATGGGGAGCTTAGATGACCCCAAAATGAAGAGCATGATGCCTACTGATGAACAGTTTGCAGCCCTCATTGTGGTTGGCTTTGCAACTTTGTCCATTTTATTTGCCTTTATATTACAGTACTTCTTAATGAAGTAAACACACCCAACAAAACTAGAGGTATGAATTTAATTAATGCTACACATTTTAATACACACATTTATTCAGATACTCCCTTTTTTACGTCCTTTGTTCTTTGATTTATATACTTCTCTTGTTTTACAGATTTAGCTAGAAAAAAAATATCAGTGTTTTGGTGCACCTTTTTGAAATGCAAAACTAGGAAGAGGTTAAACTGGATTTAAAAAAAAGAAGAAAAGCAAACCAGATACCAAAAGCTAGCTTTCTTATGTTTTCTTTTGAATTTACAGATTTGCCTTTATTCTGTTCTCACTAATGGCTTTTGCAAGCCTTTGATTTTTTTTTTTTTTTAATATTACAGTTTAGTAATTTATATTCACCTATTCACCTGTCACTTCTTATGTCGTGAACATCTGTACGTGTAAACATGAATCACAGCATGTGTAGTTACAGGGCTAGGATTTCAGTGTTGTCAGAGAATCATCACGCAACACCACCATGCAGAAGCTGTGTTCACTAAGATGGCCTGCCCTAAACGAGTTCCATTTTGTTACTCAGTTATTTAACTGTATTTAGCTCATTTAAATCAAAATGTGTACTTCAATGTAAAATGTTTTAATAATCTGTATTTCTTATCATTTTAACACTATGAGCTGCCTGTATACAAAATCAAGTAACCAAAATGCACCTATAAATTGTGGAGCATTGTAGATTTTTACCACGTCGATTCATAGCAGTAACTTTACGAGGGCATTGTGCAATAGTTAGTTGTTTCCTTGTTACAGCTGTTTTAAAAGCTGCTTTAACTTGTTTGTTTGTCTTTGTATATAACTACGTACTTCTAATCACTAGAGTAATTATATTCTGTTATGTTTGACCAGAATTATATGATGAGAACTGGTGACAGTTTAGTGCCTCTGCCCGTTGTCCATGATTTACACTAATTGTGAGCAATCTTGTAACGTGTCAGCTCATTATTTTTGAAAGATTTGCCTTTAGGCTGTTCTTTGAGGTATCAATGAAGTGATTGAATTCAGTACCTTAATTCAGTGCACGTAATACTAATCTAACAGCAGATAAAGACTGATAAAGCCCAAAAGAGAGTCCTCTAAATTTATAGTTCCTATTTCTGTGGGGTTGACCTGGCCGTCTATGGAGAGGGATTGTATTTAGCGGTAAGCACAGGGTGTTTGGGGATCAAGAAGCCTAGATTCTCTCCCTGGATCTGTCACTAACTTGCTGCGTGACCGAAACATGTCACCTTTACCTCTGTGCCTCAGTTTTCCCATGCATTAAAAATAAAATAAAATGGGGATTCTAATGTTTGTAAGTGCTTTGAGATCCTTGATCAACAGGTGCTATTGGAATGCAAGGTGTTACTCTTGCTTGTTTATTTTGAGTCATGAGATAATCAATTTTAACCCAAAGTCTTTGGATTATTTATATGAAGTCCATAATGTTCGAGTACCTCAGGGACATTTAAGAGTTGGAGGTGCAAATATATTCCAAAAGGGTGCAACAGACACAGTGTATACCCCTGCTTCTGTTTTTGTATATTTTTGCTACTTGGTTTTTCTTGATCATAGCTACTTTGTGCTTTGTGTTGTCTAAGATACAGTATCCTGTACTAGCTTATAATATTCCCGTACCAAAGTCATGGGGAAACCAACATTTTTTTGTTTTTGGTTTATTTATACTATATTCTGCATACAGTACTTTAAATGCCAATTACAGTGCAATCTTTATTTATTGTAAAATTTTAAAAAATGTACTTATGTACTAATTTTCCCTTGTAGCATGTTATTTTTTTTGTGTGTTTTATACTTTTGTAATTCTAGGTCACTCTTGTTCTTTGGCAACATCTGTAGTATTATTAATCTTCTGACATTTTCTTGTATTTTTAAGGATAAGAGCATCTAGTGCATTAAATGCCAAAAAAAGAAAAAAAAAATCCATTATCAGTGATTGAAACGTTTACATGTACCCAAAAAACCATAATCATCTCTTGAAAGATAGTGGTAAGATCAATGAATTATTCTGTGTGCCTATATTGATGTAGTAAATACTAGAGAGTTCTGTATTTTGTTATTGACTATAATAATCAGTTTAATTAGCCTTGCAAACTAATGGCATCAAGATAATATATTTTTGCCAAAGTTCTGGCCTTCCAAAATATATCCCACTATTTACGTAAATGTGTGATATGATCCACTCTGACATTGCATCTGCGTTTTCTGAGATGATTTCATGCAGGTGTTTCAAGAAGAAGGCATTTTTTAAGCAATGAAGAGTCAACTGAGTACAAAAACCCTACTGTTTGCAAAGAAAAACATCCCTTTTTGGTACACTTCAGAACTGCTGCTATAAAGAAATTCTCTGAATTGGTTGTATTTTTTAAAATGAAATTAGGCCAGAGTTGTTATGAATATTTGATTGTTTTGAGATTTCATACTATCCGTGGAACCACCAGAAAGCTGAAGTGTGTGAAATACAAGCTGACGGCACTTTATTTTATTGCTCTCCATTGTTTGGTATTCGTTATAATCCCTTCAGTCAGGAAATTCTTACTCTATATGGCACTGTGTTCTATCACAAATATGTATATGTGATATTGATGTATAACTATATATATTGCCATTACACATGAACAATAAAATAAAGTGTTAGAGTAAACTTATTTCTTTGCTCCTTTGCAGTAAGTAGGAATGAGTGAGTGGCTTTCTGATGGCTCTGACTCTTCTGTCTGTCAGATTCATCTCTGGCACAAGAAATCCCAGTCCCGTGAAGCAAATGGCCCTGTCCTCAAAGAAATGGTTTAAAAAGAAAACTTTTTTAAAAGATTTTTTTTCTTATTATATGCCTTGTTCTTATCAACTTGAAATGTTGGCATTTTCTAACCTTGTTTTGTTGGCTACAGTAATTCAGTATTCATGTCAACATTGAAAAGTACCCTAATTGAATGTGTTTTGAATGTTATCCTTGCACAGTTCTTTAAATTGAAAAACAAAATGTTTTACCTCACTGTTGGACATACATTCCAAGCTTTTCAACTCTAGGAGAAAAAAAAAAAAATTCATATGTTTTCCTGTATTGTCAATTTTAGACTTTCATATACATTGTATTAAAACTGCCATATCAATTTTATGTATAGATTTTGCAAATACGATGCTATATGTAATACCTAACTGTATCTGTAGTGTATATGTAATATATTTATGCCCAATAAATGTTTTAATTCTTTCTGACTTAAGTAGGGTTTTTCTGCCATTAATAGGATTGCTGTTGTTGTTGTTATTGTTTTAAAGCTTAAACAACATCCCAAAAGTTGCAAATTCAAATGCCTTTAGAGGCCATGCAGTAGCATAGTGCATGATGTTTGCTGTCTCATCTAAACGGGCAGCCACAACTCGACTGCTGCTGGGTGAGGCATTGCAGAATTGCTGGTCACAATCACATGTGCCAGTATTTCAAAAGAACCTTAAAATCCAGATTTTGATCTAAAATCTCCTGATATTTTAAAAATAATTTGTCTAAATTGCTTGTAAAACTCTGTATGGGCCAACTAAAATGTGATTGTGGACTACATAGGCCCATGAGCTGCCAATTTCAGAGTGTGTGTGGATAGTGTACCTCTTTGCCTAACATTTATATGACAAAACTCAGGTGTCCACATCTACCTCTGTCCACTTGGCACACTGGGTACTTCCTCCTCTGGATCCCATTCAACAACAACAGCAATAAAGCATATTGTTCCTACTGTGGCCATAGTTTCATCATTAGGTTAGATTGTTTTGCTAGGAATCTCTTCTGTCTTGAGTTCTTTATATTTTGGGCATAGAGATGTATTGTTTATAACTCAAAGCTCACATAAAGAATGGTAGTCATTCTTATGTGTAAAGATGAGAAATGGAACACATCAAATTTTGCATGCTCCCGACACTTCACCAAAAAGATGATAAAGGATTTATTTTTTTAAGTCACAACTCCCCTCAAGATGGTGTAAATGGAAGAGAAGTCATTAGCACCAGAATTTTGGAAACCTAACCAAAGAAATACGAGTTCTAAGTTAGCAGAGAGGAAATTGAGAACAAACTCAACTTACATGCAGAATGCCCAGAAGGCTCAAAAGTTGGCAGCATATCTCTTTCAAGTGGTGTTGGGAGGGTCTAAAATAGGATTGGTTGAAAATTGTTAAAGATGCGGTTAGATTCCCAGAGTTGCTCCCCATTTCTTTTAAGCTGGACAACTTCATCTCTATCACACTTGCAGAAGCCTGGAAATTTATCCTCAGGAAAAGGTAAAACAGAAGGTCACTAGACTGCAAGACACTATTCACAGTTGAAAGTGAAGGTACTATACCAAAAATGGGGATTAATGAACATAAGCATACAAGAGGATGTCAGGAGAGTCTCAACCTGAAGAATCTCATGCAACCAAAAAAAGAAAGATCTTCAGTGAAATAAATGATTCAAGCAGATCATCCTTTGGTAGTGCTTCTCAACATTAGCTGCACATGGGTATCACCTGGCGAGCTTTCTAAAATCCCTCTATCCAGGCGACATCCTAGGCCAATTAAATGAATATTTCTGGAGTATTAGTGTTTTTAGAGCCCTGATGGTGCAGAGGTTAAGAGCTCGGCTGCTAACCAAAAGCTTGGCAGTTCAAATCCCACCAGCTGCTCCTTGGAAACCCTATGAGGTATTTCTACCCTGTCTTATACGGTTGCTATGAGTTGGAGTCGACTCAACAGCGTTGGGTTCGGTTGGTTTGGTAGCAGTGTTTTTAAGGCTCCCCAGGTGATTCTGCTCTGCAGCCAAGATTGAGAACCACTGCCCTAAAGTGAAAACTGTCAGTCAGCAATCTCGTGTCAGCTTTTTCATCTGCCATCTTAAAGTTAACCTGGCATCTGATGAAAGAAAGCTTCTAACGTGAATGAAAAGACCAAACCCAACAACTTGGAAGAACCAGAGACTACAGGGAGAACAAGCCTCAAAAAAACTGCCAGTCTCCAGAGAGAGAAGAAAAGATAAGGCATCTGTAAAATAAGGATAGAATACTACCAAATAGGAAATATTCTTGAAAATTAAAATTCAGTAGTAGGGGTGAAAGCTGAAATTGAGCAAATAACCCAGAAAATAGAGCAAAAAAGGATAAAAGATTAGGATCAGTCTTGAGACGTCCAATACCCAAGTAATAAGAACTCCAGAAAAAAATTAAAAATGGAGGGGAGGAAATCATCAAACACACATTTCCTGGATGAAAATAGGACCTCTACTAAGGTATGCCATCTTGAAATTTCAAACAAGTAGGTCTAAGAGAAGTTTCCAAAAAAGATTTTAAAAAGCAGGTCACATAGATTAGGAATCAGAATGGCTTTCAGACTTCTCAACAGTAATACTGGAAGCTAGCAGTCAGTAATTACGTCAAGATTTTGGAAAAAAAGATTTCCCATCTGCCATACTCAATCAAGTGTAAAGGTGTCATAATATTTTCAGAAATGAAAGATCTCAAAAATTTGCCTCCCATGCATGTTTTCTCAGGAAGCTGCTAAAGAATATGCTCTCACATATAAGGGAATATTCCAAGAATGAAGCAGCCATGGGATTCTGCCTTCAGTGTTTTCATGCAGGTCAGAAGTTGGCTCTCTTAAGGCCCCTGGGTGGCACAAACTTTTCTGCACAGCTGGTTAGCAAAAGATTGGCGGTTTGAACACACCCAGTGGCACTGAGGAAGAAACAGGCCTGGAAATCTGTTTCCATAAAGATTACAGCCCAGAAAACCCTATGGAGCAGTTCTATTCTGTAACATATGGAGTCTCCTAAGTCACAAATCAACAGCAAAAACAAAAATTGACAGAAGTTGCTCTCTGACATTTTGCCCCAAAAGGATTTATGCAACTTTCACTTTCTTACCCTTTCCCCGCCCCCAGCCTTCCTGTATGCATAAACACACACACGTGCACACACATAGACTGAAAAGTGATTATTTTAAACAAACCTCTCAGGATATCTTGCCTTGGCTAATTAAACCAAACAATTAAATCCATGTGCAGATTACATTTAATTCAGTGTGGCGACACAAGACTGTTTAAAAAAAAAAAATCCCACCTCCATTGCTAGACCATAAGTGCCTCCAAAAATGGAAGTGGGGAGGGAATGTTTGCATGAGGCAGTGAGTCTTATTCAGCTCTGCAGCATATAGCAAGGCACCTAGCACATAATAGATGCTAAATAAAATTTTGTTTAGTTGAACTCAATTGAACTAATTTTGTAGGAAAAAGTTCCCATAGCAGTGGTGTGATCCGTAAGACCCTTTCTCCAAAAGTCTTTTGCCACTTGATTTTTGTTTTTAATCAAAGTAATTGTCAACATTTAAGCCTGTCGAGATTTCACACAAAATGCTAGGACTCTAGATTCTATTGAAATTTGGAAGACCTGGTGACTTTAGGTCTTGTTCTGGAATGGTGGTTATCAACAGATGAATAACAGCTGCCGTTGTTCGTTGGTGCATTTGCTCTGCAGTAGACCACATTTCCCACCAAATCCCTGGCACAGATATTGATGATGTTGTCTCCTAAAGAAGAACATTTCCATGTACCCATGTCTCCATCAAAGGGAGGCAAACGGCAATACTTCAAGAATGATAGCGTGAGGACGTCTGAAGATTGACTCCTCTATAAAAGCAACAAAAACACTGGCAAGAATTGTCAAAATCAACTCAATTCTAGAAAATACCAAAGGTTTGGAATAAACTGAACCTCTATAAGGACAGTAGGCTTTGTGACATTTTAACTCCACCTGCTCCCACAGCTAATCTTGAAGACCAGCAGCCTTGCAACCATGATAGCCATGAAAACCAGCAGCTCTACAGCCACGGGAGAGGTTTAGAGCTCAAAACGTCTATTTAACCTGTCTCACAGCTTTCTTGAAAAGCCCCATTCTCAGGGTGTCATTTAACCTGACACAGACTCGCTCTATGGCGAAAGTCATATACCCAGGGTATCGAACAGGCAATTGTTTAACGTAGCAGCTGCCTGAGGCTGCAATACCAATTGGGGCAAACAAGATCCTAGCCACAAAAGGAAGATCTAGGGAATGAGATGTCCGTAGGAGGCTTGTAAAAGTTTGTGACATGTTCCTGGGGATCTATACGGCCAGATGCATATGCAAGGCTATGCGCATGCTCAG